CTTTTGGGTGAATAATATTTAAAATGTATAATGACACGACTTCGTGCCATCATTTTAGATAATTTTTTAGGCATTATACACGATGGTGATCACTTTTAAACTAAAATTTTAGACATAGCTTTAGCCACAATTTTAAACATTATTTTAAGCGTCACTTTAGTCGTCATAGATATTAACTTGCGCATCAATTAAACATTCCTACACACTTCGCTTAAGGATCACTTAAGACGTTATTGTAAAAATAATTGTAGCCTTTGTTTAGAAAATCTTAATTATTTGTAACATCCATTTGGTGCACTTTGGCCATCACTTTAAACATTAATTTTAATATCATCTTAGTCGTCAATTTAGCAATTACTTTCAACTTCATCTTGAATATAACTTTTATATTATCATTTCGTACATTGTTCTAGACACTGTATGAGATTTCATAGTATCAATTCAATCATCACTTTAGATATCACAAGTAAATAGATAGATTTTTCGGGATAGGTTTTTCTGAAAGTAAATGTCAAAGGTTTCCATGTATCAAATCTCCAATTGGAATCAACAGAAGCGAATGGTGATACTAGCATTTGTGTGCAATAACTCTACACTAATGACATTGCAAAATCAATTGTGTAGAAGACCATAAATAATGACGTCATCTGTAAATTGAATAAAATACAATAGATTTAATAAAGCTCAACACCGATTATTTAATTACATTTTGGTTCGTGTAGAAACCCAACTTAAAATAGCAACAAAGAAGTCACACCGTCAATATCGTGATTGCATTACTTTATCTGCAAATTGAATAACCAATTGTTTCTCAAAAACTGCTGATTTGAGAAAATGAAATGGCAAAAGTTCAATATCCGAAGATGTCTTCTCTAACCATTAAATATGAAGATAAAAATTTAATTATAACAAACTCTAAAAGTTGACCTCACAGATAATATAATAAATTGAAGTTTCTGTTGCTACATTTATAAACTGAAATAAAAATAGTATGAATTAAAACATTAAAACTATTTATGTACGGTAAGTTGTGATTTAAGGGAAAACACTATTTATAGGCAACAAAGCTAATGGTTTTATTTGTAAATATTCCGTATCAATTCACAAACAAATCTCATGCGAATATATTTCATTCAATATGCAATACGGTTTACAAATAAAATAACTTTGAACATCAAAAACTAATTCAATGCATCAATGCAATCTGTAAATGAATTAATGTAAGTAACATCGCGTGGTGAAATGTTGATTCATTATTTTGAATAATCAACGCAAAAAAAAATTTCCAAGCGTACAATGACTCTACACTGTAGGCAAACTATAACGTTGAATTACTTCAATTTGAAGTAATATGACTGATAGATGATACACCGTAATTAAGTGTTTTATCGATCACTATAAATCTTTAATTCCTTAAATAAACTATGTTGGATATAAGTGTGATTCAAGCCTCAATATGTTATTCCATTTTAACACCTGTTAGATTAACTATTACCGGAGAAATTCATTCTTAACTCCTCGCCTTATTTTTAAAAATATTGCATAAGAACATCTTTGGCATGTACTATTTGAAGTGTACAATATATCAATATGATATCAATTCATAGTTTCTTAATATACTGTTTATATGACCTACTAATTTAACATAATTATCGTACCTTTCAGTTGAAGTATGTGGCAGTGAGAGTGACAATGACAATAGCAATATGGTAATTACATTAACCATGATAATGAGATTAATGTACTTATATGCGCCGTCTATCTAGGCAAACCTATTCTGAGGCGCATCATAACTTACAGAAGAATTATTTATAACAGGATGAAATGAAAATAGACCAGCAATGCTAGAAGCAATCAAATATGAGTGTATATTAAGTGATGGATAAATAAAATTTAATTTATTACACTTTTTACGATCTTACATAACACTAAAAATTGTATTAATATTTATCTTTGCATAACGATTCTTAGGAATAATAATAAAAACGTGTATAACTACTGCTAAGAACATTTCAACTAGATGATACGCTACACCTTAGCTTGATCATTTTTGGTAAAAATATTTAAATTAATTTAATTTTAAATTGACTTCAGAAAAATATATTCTGAGAATTGAAAAGATTAGTCTAACTGTATGTTTGACAAAATAATCTATACTATCAAACTATCTATACATTACAGCAACGATTTGCACAATTAAAACCTTAAGTTTTCTCACTTCGGTGAAACAAATATTATTTATATGACAGTATCTTTTATCATTGGATAAAATAAGTTTATCGTATTATTTGAATTAATTACTACGTCTATAGTGAAATTACCTGATATTGCCTTCTCGCCATTTTTGTTCAAGTCTGAAAATATTGATTGGAACACGGCTGAATTCATGTCATGATTTAATATATAGCTTTGTTACGGTATTCTCAAATCTCATGGTTTAATGACATGTTTTGTGACCAATTACGTATTGATGTATGAATTGTATCGATACAGGATACAAACAGTACTTAGCTATACATACTTTTAGTGCCTTAAATAATGTTAGCATTACACAAATCTACCATTTCTATTTCATACACCATAATGAAATTTGCCGGCACATGATAAAAATGTGAAAATCAACAATGTATTCTTAATAGGGGTTCCCATGTATAGGATACTCCTACTTAAGAGACACTAACCAAAAATGCAAAATCGTCTCCTTAATAGGGTTTTACACTCATTTGTAAATTAATTTACTTGACCTAAGAATTAGTTACAATAAATTATAAATTAAACAAATTTGTAACAACAATTTCCAATGTAAAGAAAGATAACACGTTTATGACACAAAACAACATAAAAATAATTCAAACCACTAGAACCATTAAAGTCATAAGGCGTATTCGACTGGTCTGTTTTGAGCAGCTCTTTCTACTCAAACCATGTCGTATTCGATTGGTCGCACGAGCAGCACGAACTCCTCACAAGAGCGGCTCGAACTCCGCTGTTTTTTTAACGAGCACACTCCGAGTATTAAATCACTCCTCGGAAAATGACCAGGCGAATACGCCTACTGTCCCTAAGCATCATAATGTGTATAATATAAGGCATAACACACCCGTGTGAGAACAGCAGCTTGGTGGATTAGGCACCCCAAATGAGAAATAATAAATAAATAAATAAATCATTCGATGATAAAGATTCTGATGTAGAATTGACTTTTTTGCTCTTAAATCATGTATAGTAATTGTTAAAAAAAAAATGACATGCAGGTAAAAACAGAGAGCATTCCTCTGCTCAGGCTACTGATTTACGAGCGTCAGTCACAGTCAAATTGAACGCTTAAAATACTACTTATGAATTAATTAGTGAAAGTTGTCGAATAGAGACAAGAACTTTGCAATATCTTTTTGAGTGATTCATCGTCGTCAATGTCAATCTTAATCTACAAGAATTCTCAGTAGAAATACTTGTTTTTTCGGAAAGTTTGTAAAATCATTGACGCCAAAATAGTTAATCACGGTGGTGATGTATTGCCAGGGTATAATCAGCTATTTACAATCTATTTGAAAAAAAAAATATTGCGGCATCAACAATAATTGAATCCATTAAATATTTGTCTTGCATTATGATGTTGTGTACTGTTCACACAATACAAAATAAATTATACACAGGTCTAATTTAGAACATAAACTAATTATATTTTACATGCACGAAAATAATTTGGTCACTTACCACTACAGACTTTCTCAAAGTGTTGGAAGTTTATTTTTTCATTATTTAGTGGATATCTTAATTTTCTGTTACGTTTCAATAATATTTAATGTATTTCTTGCATTAGCCCTATTGTCGTTACTGGGGGTTATTTGGCCAATTTAAATGCGCAGTCGATTGTGTGTCATGCTAAGAGTGATTTCTATCCATGTGATATCCTATACCGGATTTGACGTCACATGTTAAAGAATGAAAAGAGCTACTAGCGCTTGGATTTACCAAAACGCTTGATTTAGTTCGCTGTGTATGCTATTATAGGTCACGGGTATGAGTCATGGTACAGTAGATGAATGTCTAAGGGGTTAAGGGGTGGCACCATTGAGGATAGCTTCCCCCTCCTTTCTACATATTATCAGACTATAAAATCGAATAAATAAGCCTTTGAAACCACGAAAGTGTCATATTTTTCACTCCTGCTGAACTTTCAAAAGATTTTGAGCGACGCCCGACCACGCCCACTTTGCTCTCGTCGGAAACAATCGACCGTACATCGGGCGGTCTATTTAACCTATCTTAAGTAACGTCTATATCTTCTTTAAGGTATCATTGTATCTTTTTATACTTAATTTTAGTATTTCTTGTAAATTCTTATGAGTATACGGTAAACCGCGTATGTAACGATGATGATGATGATGATATGATGATGATGATGATCATCATCATCATCATGACGATCATAATCATGATGATGATAATGTTAAAATCTAAGAGAACTTATATATTATATATGTTACAAAATATTTTTAAAATATTCATGTATGCAGTTGTAGCTTGCCATCATATGTATATGTGAGTCTTCTGTAAGGGATTGTCACTTACAGTAAAATTACATTAGTCAATATTATCACAACTGGCAATCCTTGCACTTCAGTAAGAAGAAATAAAATATTTGCATATAGAAATAAATGATTAAAAAACCAACAAAACTCTTTTTTTTTTTACATTTCAGTACCAAAAATTCTTCTGGGGTCCGAAGGTTGTTGGACTTATACACCTTTCATTCTTCTTAGGTTATATAGTAACCCAAATTCCAGGTGGTTACCTAGCCGCAAGATTCCCAGCCAACAGGTAAAGTACTAATGCAGTTTTCTTGCGACCAATGCAATTATTTGTACTCAGGCATTAAGTTGTGCGACACTGAACATCATGTATAATTCTGACTCTAATAAAAGACTAATTACCATGGAAAAGTATAATAGTTACTATGGGGAAATTGGTGTGGTATCCATACAGAGCATTAAAATTCCATTAGTTCTAACGAAACGCTAACAGTTCTGGAAATAATCGAACATAAAATCTACTACATATGGAAAACTGCAATGAAGGTGCTTTACCATTGAGAATTTCATGAATGTTAGGGATGCACTTAGGCCTACTGTCGGAGTTTATTGACACACGTTTTCACAAGTCTATTACAACGACTGTTATATAATAAATTCAAAATCTTTTACGACAAGTCTTTTGACCAAATGCGTTTGTTTGCTGATAATCTGGCATTTTGATGACCGCACTTCAGTTGAAAAACCGTCACATTTTGCTAATCTCCGAATTTATAGCAAATTTCACCGCTTCCCTATATTTTCCATGGGTTTATTTACATCGTCAGTAGGCCTATGATTTAAAACTATAATTATTCATGGTATTGTGTTTGATAAGTTTATGGGAACATTCATTTTTGTACCTTCAAATTCGTAAATTCGTGTTAGTATATTGTACATGTCCAATTAATTCCAAATAATATTATACTGGTATAAACTTATGAAACTGATAATTTGGACTCAGAATTGGCATACACTCCGTTTATAAATGTAAGGCTAATGATAACCTTTTAAAATGTTACGGATTCTGGTAGCCTGGGTTCCAGGCCCTAATTTTGGGTTATTCAGATTTTATTGCGCTTATTGCGCACCAAACCTAATTTATTTGGCGTCTCATACTCGGTTTATTTTTATTTCGGATTCTGTCTCAAAATTAACTTGCTCGTAGGTACCGCTGTCCAAAATGAGAAAAAATAATAATAAGGAACTTGTGGCAAGTCTATGGTTCCGGGTGAGTCACACCATAACGTTCTACCACAGCATTCAGTCCTACTAGTCAAAAAAAAAAAGAAATGTATGTTATAACCGACATGTGAGAATGAAAGGGGTTGGAATTACATCAGAATGAAACTCTATAGGCCTCCTCAATTTAGTAGTTTGCTCTTGAATTTTAATTTCGTTTAAATACAGTGTATAAGGATCTGCTTATATCCCTAAGGCAATAACCTGACACAGAATGAAGGTAATTAATTATCATTTATATTGAAAAAATATATGAATTCCTCTTAAGATTTTGAAAACCTACACTAAATTTGTTCTCTTTGTAGAGTGTTTTGCATCGCTATCTTCAGTACATCTATTCTGAATATGTGTATACCTTTTGCCTGTAATATTCACTATTCGCTGGTTATTTTGATACGCATCTTCCAGGGGTTAGTTGAGGTAAGTCGCTTGTGATTACGTCATCAACCTATGTGTTCTACGTGCATCTTTCAATAGCAGAATAAAGTGAATATGTTAATACAGAATCCAACCAACAGAAACAATTATTCACACATGAAAAACAATGATATTATGCTTTCAAGAACTTTTGTGACATTTTGAGTGTTTTTATACCAAATAATTAAAATATATATTTAAAAAAACAACGTAGTCAATCTACACTTCGAGAGAGTATCAGTTCAGCCTAGCTTTTGCATATACTTTTAAGTTAAATTGTTTGTTCGGGCAAACCCTAAAGGCTTAACCCTATCTTCAAATAATGAATAACGTTAAAGTTTGTTGTTAAAATGCCTGCTTTTCCAATTCCTGAGTGCTGTGTTCGAATAAAACAATTGTAACAATTGTTAATTTCCTGGCGACAACTTCCTTTTTTTACAAACCACATCAAAAGCCTTTTTAGCCCATCTCGTATACTATAATTGACACGTATAATTGTTGTTGGGTACACAAGAAATAATTTTAAAATTAATTAGTGAAGAAATTGATTAGTATTACCAGTCCGTTTGGCGTGATTGTCTGCTTTCTTGTAATTATTAGTCGCATTATTCTATTGACTTATGAGAGTGAGCAAATATGTATCCACACAGCATCAATATTCAATCTGTAAAAGCTGGGACTACTAACGATTTCATTATACGATGTTAACGATGGCGCAGTATATAATCTATCGTGTTTGTTAAGTATATGATCTTTTTTTCCATCTGCTGGTTGAAGAATCAAATGACAAACCAAATCAAAATTGCATCAGAATTTTCTATTCGTGAGAAACTACAGGCCAAGGCATTCGAATATTAAATATCTTCAATATATATTGATTTTAGACTCTGAATTCTAATTTGCACACTTGAAATGAAAGAAGGTACTTTACTACTTAATGCTTACTATTGCACCATTGTCATGCTTTATCACTACACCTGTTGTGCCGTTAATAATGTATAGAATACAAAGCAAAAAAAAAACTGCTATCTAAATATCACAAACAAATAATGAAGTCTATTATAAATTATTCACATATCTGTTATTAAACAAGCATTGTTAGAGGTTTTTCGTATGTCAACTAGTGACATGTTAAGTTATAAATGAATAACGTAAAAAAATGTTGAAGTCTTGGTTGTACTCTGACATCCTTTAAGCTTTAACTATTTATTACGTTACAGTTACATAAGCCTAAAGCAATTCGCGGTGGGCTCAGGTAAAAATCAATGTATTTCATTTAGAGCCTAAGCATAGAGCGTAAACATAGCCCTACGCATATTTTTGTTTTATTTTATAATATTTTCAATTCAAATTCAAATTTATATATATATATATATATATATATATAATATATCGTGTTAATAATATACGAATTTAATTTATCAATAATAACTTTAGTAATAATAATAAACGTCTCTTCAAAAGCAATAATTACTATAATAATAAAAATGCTAATAGGCCTAGTAACAATCAATAATAAATATATTATTGATGTTTATGAAGACGATAATCATCATAATAATAATAAAAATTAATAATAATAATAATAACAATAATAATAATAAACAAAATAATAATAAATTATTATTTATTATGTATTATTTAGGATATTTTAATTGGTCACGTGTGGCAGAGTAATTATTGAGGTAAAACAAGTACTGTAACCAATTTATTACCTATTACTGGCTAACGAGTTATAGGGAAACACGCGATTATCAGAGCACACGGCCGGCACGAGTGTGCAGAATGATTGATTCCAATGGACCCTTCTTTAAATGTCTCATAACAGCTTCATTATCTATTTGCATAGTGAATTAAATAGATACAATAATCCCCAGAGGCAGTATTTATGGTTATAGCATGGTTATAGCGGCTGTGATTGTCAAGATTAGATATTAAGCGTGTCGTCCGATTGATCACTGCAGGTCGTCTGCAGCATACTGCACAGGACAAATTTGTACATTTTATGATCATAAATGCGATGGTATTTATTACCTGTGCGAAGTACAATCGATATTATGATATACATTCTTAAGCTCGATGATAACGATGAATATTTAAAGATTGTTTAGAATGATTGACGTTGAAACTCCCGTGAAGAAGTGCATAATCTGTCTCTTATACACATCTAGATGTGTATAAGAGATAGATTTTTCAGTGGGATTGAGCACTGTTTCACATTATATATATAGGCCTATTATATATATATATATATATATATATATATATAATATTATAAGATGTTTATCAACGATGAACATCTTCCTGATGAATATCTATATATTATGTATATTGTTGATTTTGGAAGAGTGTGATAAATGTTATCTTGACAAGACCTCTGTAGAGGTACGCCCCCACCCCAAAGAAAAGCTTTTCCAAAGCCCCCGCACAGGAAATTTCTGAAACACAAAATTACGTAGAAATAGTTTAAAAATACTCTCATGTCAACTTGTTCCCCTCACGTAATCACCGAGCCCGTGCACCTCACCTTCGCGACCCCCATTTCAATACTCCTAGATAAGCCGCTGTTCTTGCCGCAACCACCAATGATTTACATTCATGTGCTATTCAGAATTGAACATTTTGAAGAGATTGATAATGAGAACAAAGCTTTGATTTGTTGTTGTAGCATACCACAATCTGGATTACAGTGTAATCATGTTCTAAATCGCTCTCCACTAGAATTCTGATTGTCACATGTGTGCCATACGACACGTTGATGAACATCTTTGCGATATGAATCATTTCATATAGAAACGGCGGCGGTACAAATTTGTTCCACACGAAGCTGTTGGCACCCTGACCGACTATCGCAACAAATTATAAATCCTGACAGAATTTACGGTTTTATTTAATAATGAAAATGAATTAATAATAATAATAATAATAATAATAATAATAATGATAATAATAATAATAACAATAATAATAACAATAACAATAACAATAATAATAATAATAATAATAATAATAATAGCAATTATATGTATAACGTAACTCCACTCCATGATAATAACAATAATATAATATAATAATTATTATAGGTCTAATAATAATACTGCTAATAACAAAATTTATAGCAATATACTTATATCCATAGCGATTCGCATTGAATCTGAATTTTGAAACAAGGAGTTTCGTTTTGACTTTTAACTGCTGAATATCAATCAATACCAAAAACCACGAGAGAATTATGTTATGTGAATTGTGTATTTTGACGTTAAGCCGGTAAAAAATACACGTCATTAAACTAGATATACATAGACTCTTTCAATTTCAAAGTAAATTTATAATTTAAATGTCGAATAGTTATTTTCCTCTTATTCAATTTCAAAGCTCATGCATGCATTAATGCAATCACTGTTGATCACGATCATAGCCGCCAACTATCTGAAATATGTATAAATATTTGCCAGACAATCCTCCAGTATAAAAGTTATCTTTACTTACAAATGCATTACGCCCGCTGTACGTCATTAATTATAGCCTTTAAGTAGGCCTTTGTCAGGAAGAAATTACTTTAAAACTCTCTAAATGATGGAAAAGACTCGATAAAACGTAAAGTTATGCTCGTGCTCAAGGATGTTTTTGTTTAGTTCTATTAATTTGCTTAATTATGGGCATGCGCATTCGAAAACGACGAGCACAAAATATTCACTTAAAACTTACACAACCGTTGAAACTGGCATCAAATGCAATTCGAAAGACATTATATAGCAAGTTAGTTTTTAACTCGCCAATTAAAGAATAGACAATGATTTATTTTAGTCTCTTGGTTGGGCTTAGAGAGTGGAGTTAATCTTAGCCGTTAGAAAAAGTCCTGCTATCACAGGAATCGAACCCAGGGCCTTGGGATTAGAAGGCAAGCATCTTAACCACAAGCTAAATAATCTTATTGTCATTATTTTAATATTTTAATATTGCTATGCAATAAATATATTGGTCAAAGCTTGCCTCACACAATTGTTTGCTCTTGTGATCATATTTATTCTTCAAATAAATTATGACTATAACAAATTGTAGAAATAAATCATAGAATGGATCGCCCTCTATTGTATATGAGACAATACAGTGGTTCGTATTAATTAAGCTGATTGCTCCAATGCCCCTTTCGAGAGTGGACTTGTTTTGGTTATTAGAAACTTTCCCACTTTGCCAGAATTGAAGCCAATACATTAGAAAAAGAGCAACAAATTATTGCCTAACATTTTGTCCTCCTTATAAATCATGCTTTATACAGAAAATGAGATTTTAGGAATTTATTTATTTATATATGTAGGCTTAAGCCCTATCTCTTCCATTGAAGAACGTAATTATGGGCTAATTAAGTCCACGAGCGTCGCGTAGGTGAGTGTGGTGAATCTGAAAATACAGTCCCACCATCATCTTAAGTCACGGTCAATATTGAACATTACAGAAAACATTATTTAATATATTTATTTCCCAGTTGTTTTTAAGTTTTGTAACTTCACATGGAATTACACCTCGTTATCATTTATGTGCTATATTTGAGGAATGATTATCTTTGTGCTGTTTTTCCCTACTGGACTAATGAAAATGTTTTACCAATGAGGCAGATGTCATTATATCATCACTTGATGTGTTCACTTAGGCTTAATTTCATTTTGGTTAATTCCGCTCATCAAGTCGCCTCTATTTTCTAATAAGTAACGGCAATATCTTCAGAAACCTTAAATTGATTCCATTGAATAAGCTTGCAACAGAGATTTTTTTTCTTTGCTAGGAGTATTGATATAAACCCTGTCCCTTGATCGACTGAGAATGGACAGGAAGCTATGTTAATGAACTTATTCACTGACTTACTTTATCTCACTCACCTAATTCTCTAAAATTACTGAGATCTGGCTGAATGACTCGGAAATCATCCTGAAATTCTATTATGCAAAAAATACGAATCACCATGGTTGAGACGTTATAATAGATATGCATGAAAATTTGCAGTTTCTACTTAAAACAAACATAGTGTAGACGGAATGTACTTTAAGTTATCCTATACACTACAAATTCAAAGATTTAAATAGTTGCTTACATAGACTTCTCAGTGTTAAATGTATTTGGACCAATTCCGGATTAGCATTAATCGAATTCTTCTATAATTATTCTATATTATACAGTTTATGCCATTTAAAACACAGAAACCAAAAAAAAAAAATAGTTCTAGAAAATAAAAAAACACCCTGAAAAAAACACCCTGTATCACTTTGGGTTTGGTTGTCTCCGTTTAAAAGTTTACTTGGATTTGGTTAGCCTCTAATTATGCTGGTTTAATTATGCACTTTAGCCGCGGTCTTCATTTAGATGTTTAAAACGTTGAGACCGAAACATGAGACCAACCACATTTTTAGGTCCTTAAAGTTGTCTCGTATTGAAGGGTAAACTGCATTCACACATTGGGCCTATAAATTAAGAGCAGCGTTTCATGGATTACTTGAGAATGTGAAGTATCTGTTTATAGTCTGATTACATAATAAAAATACTTGACCTTACATAATCCACCATCTTACGACAACATACATACATGATACAAAGTATATGGTTTTATGCTGTATAAATTATAAAAACATACAGTACAGTGTTTCTCTTTATTACAGTATGTATTGATTATGTATTATGAATATTATAAGTTACTTCTCGGTACGCCAACTGTAATTTCCAAAAGAACAACTATAATTTGATTCTAAAATTCACACATTTATGATAGATACATTACCGGTACTCGATGAATGTCTAGACATTTCCATGTTTAATAACCTGACTTAATGTATGACACCTACTAGGCTGGGATTATTGAGATTAATTTCTCTCATCAATGCCTCTTTAATTCACTATTTTTCATTTTTATTATTTTTTGTAAACATTTGATATAATTTTCCGTTAATACATCTATCTGAACCTCGTCATTTACAACGTCACCAGTATGTTTTTCTCAAGACTAATGGCATACCAATTGTTATCATAAAGTATTTTATAACTTATGTTATTCATTGGTTATCACATCACGCGTACTAACTTAATTCTAAGCCATGTAATAATTCATTTTCTTGATAGTAGCTCCATTTGTGACTCATGTAATACATTAAGACTTAGAAAATGAGTCATAATTTGAGCGACTATAATAATATGCAATGAATGTAATTTTAATTTGACTGTGCAATGTTGTTTGATCCTCAGGGTGTAGAGTACCCATCAATCCACGGCATGTGGAGTAAATGGGCACCACCGCTCGAGAGGAGTATGCTAGCAACAATTGCATTTGCAGGTAAATATTATTATCAACATTGGAAGCGTTAACTACTCTTAATGGACCTAGCCCAACCCCATGTATACTGTCGCTAAGGTTCCCTCAAAACGGTAGCGTAAACGTACGCAAAGCGTGCGTCTGTCGGAGAGCACGTGTGTTTGTGGGACAAGAGCGTATTTCTGACTCAGTTTTGATTGGTCAGTTGTTAAGTTTGATTGAGAATCTAGAAATATCCGTTACAGCAACTGCATCAATGGATGAAAATCTGACAGATTTAACAGAGAGGCAGACGATTTAATGAATTTCTGCGCGTTAGTAGATAGATATCTGCAGAGTTAACAGACAGGTGCATGATTTGGTTAATTGCTGAGCGTCATTTTGCAGGTGATTTCAGTAAATAAGATGATAATTTTTATTTTAAATAACTTAAACTGAGAAAGTTAAAAAAATAATAAACATTGTTATGTTTTATTTATTTATCATCCTATATGCGCCTGTTCTTTCGTTTTACAAAGCACTATTTCCTACCTGGTCATTAGGTCTAGGCCTAAATATTTGCCGTATCAGCACAGTAGCAGGTAACCCCACCAGGTACCAATCTCCTTGGTGAGAAGCAATGCAGATTAAAGCGAAATTCGAGTTGGAGATAAAAGACCACTTCGAGATTGGGAAACCAAACCGTTCGCCATTATACTGCGCCAATGACCAAAGACTCGAAATTCTCTCGGTACACGTCACCCCATGAAACCGTCTTTATATTGCTAGACTAGACCAGGGAACAGATAAATAATTAGTAATTTAAGTGTTCCCTGGTTAGACAGACTGCTTATACTGAAAAGAAAACAAGGAGGCGTAATACTGTATCAAAACAGTAAACTAAAAATATAACTGTTTAATAAGAACCAATTCACATGGAAACTGGGGACACTTTTTATCATTTCAAGTCACCTAAATCATATAGGCCTACAGTATAACCAAAGAACATAATTGTGACACGACATTTCACAATGATATTATTAAGATCCATAATACTATAAGTATTCACTTCAACTGCCTTCCATGAAACACGCCATTGTGTTTTTGTTTTACTCTAGGCATGCGTGCCTTTTTTTTTTTATCAATTCGTGTTAATCTGTGTCACACTGGAAAATGAATCGTCAGCTCCGAAATACAATACTAAGCCATCTTCTAATAATATATTCTTCTTGATTATTCCAATAATTAGAGTCAGAAGGCAATAAAATTGCAAATGTGGCTTAATTTAGGCGAGCAAATCAATGATTGTCAATTGAGTGCCGTGAACCAATTCATTATAGCAACATGTAATAAAAATAATGGGGTGCCTGTGAGGAAATTTCTACTTTCTTTGACCTCTTCAGCAATATTCAAAAACTACTGCATTAATTTAAATAATAATTTTAGATATTAAAATTCAACAAGTACGATTATTTCTAAGATAGCATAATGCAGCAACGACTTGGATAATAGATTTTTCCGATATCATAAATATATTTGTTATATTCAGATATAAAAAATCTACAGTACAGTACATTTTATACTATTATCAAAAGCTTAAGGTGCGTATGAATATATTATGTACCGTATAATGTAGTGATAAACTCTAAACCGTCTTGCGTTAATGTATATTTATATATACATTTTTTAATAAAGTTATAAATAAAGAGCAATTTGCGAGTTTAAAAAAAAAATGCTGCCCCAACCGGGGATTTGTTCCTGGGAGTCTCTGCTGTCTGTGCTATGAATACAATTTAACCAATTAAACCACTGGAGCTTCCGAGTTGGAATTCAAATCTGATTTTTCTTACATTGCAAATAACAGAGATAAAATATGGAACTACCTCATCTAAGCATCATCTAAAAGACTAAACGGGATCTCCAAAATGAAGATTTTGTAAATAAATCATGATACAATATAATAATAAACTGTAAACACTCTTGCGGTAATATTATAGTGTATGTAGGTAGTTGGTAGAAGGCCTTTTCATTCTCTAATATGTCTGAAAACTCAATTGTGACAGCGCTAATCCTCACAAGGAAGAAGTAGGACCATGTGTTACTTTATTGCAACGGGGTTGCACAAATTTCCGACCTAACCAACGTTCCGTTTATGTTCAAAACTTGAAGTCTCTTTTTCATGAACAAGTCACACATAATGCTCACATTAACGAACAATCAAAGAATTGCCGAGCTCTTCGAAATAGGAACATTCGAAAAAATACTATGTTTTAATTACCTTCGAATAAGCCGTTGATCAGGTGAGAGAGCAGCTTAGCTCAGTCGGCTAATCTGGTGGTAACCACTGTGTGTGCGTTGAACCGTGGAGATCTCTAGGTCCCCGGTTCAATTCCCATCGTTGCCCCTCTAAACGTGTTTTTCAGCTTGAGGGCTGAAATACAACTTACAACAGTGCACCGTCTTTCGGATGAGACGTTTAAGCCGTTGGTCCCGTGTGCATTATGGCACGTTAAAGAACGCAGTACACTCTTCGGAAAAGAGTAGGGGATTGTCTCTCGGTGTACTGCCCACTGCCACCAGAGGGACCCCACAAGAAATAAGCCTTCTTCTAGACTTATGTGGGCTATCATTGGTGTTTACATTGAATAAATCCAATCCAATCCAATATTAACACGGTGTAGGAAAAGGAAAGCTGTACTGTACATATGTTCAAAAGGAGTAGGAGGTTACTGTCAGTGTACTTGGCGTAGGCGCTGCACTTAAATCTCCCCGAGTCATCAGATGCCTAATCCAACTTTCCTTATTGATTTCAAGGGAACTCTGTAAGTAAATCCATTACTTAGTATCCCGACTACCGAACGCAAATTTGGCCGCCAGGGAAACATATTTTAAACGTTTTATGAAGATACACTTCTACAAGGGTAAAGATAATAAATCATCTTGATACGAAATAAATTCAAAAAATGATTCAATAATATACATTACAGACATATACAAATATTTATTGTATTTAATTACTCCTATTTGTTAGTACTGTATAATCACATTTCAATATGATAATTAATCGTCACCTACAAGAGTGGAAACCAGGCCATTGACATACTACAAAACATAAACCAATCGGCTCCTACTGTCGGCGTAGAATATTTTTGCAATAGTTCCACAGTAAACAAGCACTCTGTCATCTCGATGTTCAAATTATAAAACTACTAATAAGTCGGGTCGTTATGGTGGCATTAGATACATTGACTGATAACAGCTAGATATACTTGGTATTTCATATATTTTATACTGAAGGTCATTTGTAATTATAACAACTATTTTTACGTCTAATGGTGTACAGTGAGTATAATTAATCTGTTATAGTTGACAAACATTGAAACGCACGATGAAATAATGGCGTCACTTTAATACAACATGATTTTTTTTCCCGATAAGCAGTAAATCATAGAAAACGCCAACAAATACATGTAAATAGTTTCGCTTACCAACTAAAATTAAATTGATATTAAATTAATAAAATCATTATAAATATGCTACACTCTGCAAACATTACAGAAATAGAAAACCTAACTTTAAATTCCCAAATAGACAGAAAATGTTAGTGTTTGACTTAATCATTAGCTGTTTAGTAGCTGAAAGTCATTATGACATGATGGTGGTATACAGAAGTTTGAGAGAATATAATTCTCTTGTAACAAGCAGTTGTTCGATTTACGTTGATATAGCCAGTCAGTTCTTCTATCACTGGGAATTCTGCTTAATAGGATATTCTTTAAAACTTAATCTTTTCAATGTACTTTCTAGGTTGGATGGGCCTATTAATTGCTTAGAGCGATGTGTAATAGGAACAGCGATTATCTTAGAGCGTCATAGGTATGTATGCCATTTAATAGTAATGCTATTCCAAGGAGGAATTACCAATCAATATCGTAATAATACCCAATGGTTATGCAACTAATCCTACTTCGCTTAGACTCAAGGAACTATCAAATATTATAATACACGATTTTATTATTATTTTTTTAATAGGGCCACTTAAAAAATACCATTGTCAATTACACTGAAGATTAAGACAAGAAAGTTCGTTAATGTGAAAGATTACTAAGTTGCGAAACACCACCCAACCCCCGCGATATTTAAGTACATATGCAATTAATCAGGAAGTTTGCATTTTCAATTCGCCTTGAAAGATATACCAGTGCCGGAATCACAGTATTAGCTCAAGCAAATGAATTGCAAAACCTAATCTTAACATGCAATGTCTAAATATTCCGCATACCTTGCGGCATTTGCTTTTAACTGAATCAGATAAAACTAATGTATTCACATGGTAATGTTGCTTTTAAGAGAAATTATATTATATAACGCGTTAATGATTAGACACCACAAAGGAGTGTTTCATTGATTTAAATTACTTGATGCACCCAAGCTAGTGTTAATTCAACTTGTTTAAACTTAATTTATGTAATTTACAATGAATTACTGTAGGGTAAATATAGTCCCAATTTATTCATGTTTGTATTCAAAATAATTCAGTATTGATTTAAACACGGTAACAAAAAGGTGCATTGAATGAATTAGCTTATGCACTTGAAAAATTATAAAAGCTAAATTATAAGCGATTCTGAACGAGATAAAATGAGGTATGTTTCGAATTGAAAAATTGAAAATGAATCCGTTGCATTAAAAATCGATCAGTGGTCACTTTTCAAACGAATCCTATAAGTGCATCGTCGGAAACTAAAGAATAAGTTAGACCAACTGCGACTTACTAGTCCGAGAGTAGTGTCTCCGCCAGCAGCTTAGGGACTGTCACTTGAGTAGACTCTACATGGCAAGGTAATGTTTTCATATGTAGATATTCTAGTATTGTCACCAGAATCAAAGATCTTAAATCAGTGTAGCGTTTTTGTAAAATTTTGTCTTGGATGATTTCAGGTCATTTCAAAGGAGAGCGACTGGGCATGACAACCAACAAAGAAAAAAAGGAGACGATCTTCTTACGAGATAAGAATAGATTTGAGTCCATTAATGCCCTAACAAATAGAACACATATCCTGTAAATATCATATTGCTTTTATTTGCTTTCAACAATATCAATTTCAAAAAACTTTAATTAAAAACAGTTTTTTTTTGCAAAATGTTAGAGAGGGCGCAGCCTTGTGAAAAAAAAAACTTGCGATACTTTCTTGATCGGAAATAGTTAAATAATGATTGATTTTGAGAACTGTAGGCTTATATATTATAAAATCGTAAAAGTTATGAAACGTATTTTAAAATGTTAGCCTATAAAATAAAATGATAGCAAGCTGTGTTCTGTAATTTTATTTTAAAGTGATATATCAAAGAAATTTAATCTGCCAGCGAAATGCAATTCTTCATCTTAAGTGCAATTTTTAGATGTTCTTCAAAAGAATCACATGTGAAATCTTTTTATTATTTCACATTCGATTTCCATTCTCTTGCCCACATATTTATATATTGCTACACACAATATAAATCTTTCGAATAAAAATCAATCCATTTTTAATTAAAACTTAATTATAAATTTGTTGCTCTTTCATCTGCATGGAATTAACGTAGCTTGATGGTAAATATATAAAATAAACGATAAACTATCTTGCGATAATGCTAAAGTTGAAACAATGAATTGTAAGTAATAAAAATTTTAAAAATTTGGATTCGAGCTCAAATCCTATAAAATTCAAATATCATGACCACTATGTCACTGCAATCACTGTCTAAAAAATGTAACAATACTAGTTAACGAAGCATCACGCTGAAAAGTTATCATAGGCCCATACATATAGAATATATTACACATCATACAGCAATCACATTACATGCCGACACAACCTTTTACGATTTCAAAATTATTAATAAGCCAACTGAAAATTCATTCAAGCTGGAGGCATGCAAACTACGCCGCCGATAAATGTGTGTAATATACAAATCATGTGAGAAATTGCGACATGTAACCTAAACCGATAAATCACTTTCACTTAAAATCACGATCCTATTAACGCCACCCGAATACTGCATTCATGAGTGTAAATTCCATAGATATTTTAACGGAGCATTGTGTTTAAAT